GAGGTTTAAAACATCTAATAGAAAACAGTTTAGATCCTTTTCAATCCTGCAAGTATTTTTAAATAAATAAAATAGTACTAATACGAATTTGAACATTTTTGTATCAAACTAATTTAGTTGGAGTCTCCAAATCCTAGTAGCTAACAGAGTGATTGGTTCTTCTCTAGATCTACATGAAGAAAAGTGTTGAGTAAAAATGATCCTGAAGGAGAATATAATTTGTCCTTCCACTTTGTAAAAATCCCTGTCTTGTAAGATGAATTTTACTATTTTTGTGAAATGGTATACTAAGATTATACTACCTAGAAATATAAATCCTATTCTAAATAAGTTTTTTAACTTGTACTACAAAATACTTAGCAAATGTAAATTTTGTTATTGAAATCTTAATAGTTTTTCTTACCAACTAAATTAATGCATAAAAATAAAAATCAGCATTTTCTAACAAGCTTCTGTTAAACATTTTTACGTAATAAAATTAATGTATATGACTAAGACACAGAAAATTATACCTAAGCTGCTAATAAAAAAAAAACATGCGAATGTAAAGTAATTTTTGTTGCCTGATGTGACTTAAGTGTTATTAATAACTTGACTAAAAAAAAAAAAAAAGAAATGTTAAATAAAATAATAACTTGGTACTTATGTGCTGATGCTAAATTTGAATTAACTCCAACTCATTTGTATAATTTTATACATTACGCTCTAGAAGTATTATTTTTAAGTAGTCTTTACTCAGACTATCTCTTTAAACTGGTCTTTTTTCGTTTATTATTTGTTTCTTCGTCTCCAATGTATACTTCCATCGCACTCTGATGTCCTACACTATAAGCAATCTATTCTCTTTTCATATAAGAAGCCCCGTTATGTATCTGTGAAAACGTAACAGTATACTTCCAGCACCTGTTAGACAGCCTATCTGCTGAAGACTTTCTGACTTATTATCTGAGATCTGAACCTGATGAAGTTTCCATTTGGAATTTTTTTTAATCCAGTTCAAAAATAAATGTGCTCATTTTCCAGAAGTATAAATAAGTATGCATGTAAAATCATTTATTACTCATTAGTGAATGAATTAGTTTTAAATCACTCAATCATAATAAATATTCACCAATTTACTGTTATGAAACCTTCATTGTTTCCTTCAGTATATTTAAAATAGCAAACAATGAATATTCACTCATTTATTTTTAGAGAGTACGATGTTGCAGAATTCTTATTATAAAACGAGGAAAATTTTATAAAGAACCTGAACTGTGTGATTTAAATAGATCAGTAAAAATCAGTGTGTTCACTGATTTGTAGTTATAAAATTATTACTGTCTGAATTAGTACTATTATTATCACTCCAAGCAGCGAATTTTCACTTATCAATCTTTAAAGAGTAACATTATTAAATTTAGTTTGTCTATAGTTAGAATTGGAAGATTTCTATTCTAAAAATGTCTGATCTAAATTTCGTGTGCTTATAATTCGCTCAAAAAATGCAAATGAAATTTATCATAATTATAATGTAAAAAATTTTATTAAAGGAATTTTTTTTTAATTATCAAACTGCAAACGTATCAACTAATAATACATAAACTTCAAAGTTTTAAAGAATATTTTTAATTTTATAAATATCAGGAGATTATGCACAACATCTAGGGAAAGGGAAGGCAAAGTTAAAAACGTGGGAGAACTAATAAAAAGCATTTTTAAGCTTATTTTAATAAAAAATGAATTTTTTTAAAGCACTCTACTGTACCCTTTTTTTTCTTATGTAGACAAATAATTAAAAGTCTTTAGCTAAAAAGAAATAATATAAATTATTATTGTCTGCTATTTAAAATTGAAATTTATTTAAATGGTTTAATTTTGTTTAATATTAATGAAAATTTATGAGATAAGTTATTAAACTTTATCGTGAATTATTGATAATAAAAAAAACAAAAAACTTCAATATGATTTAAAACTTGATATTTGTAATAAAAAGTTTGTCAACAATACAAGTAAAGTGTTGAAAGTTTTATTTGAGATTCATTCAGAAAATTCATTGAATATCAATGTACATTGTTTGTTACTCTTTCAATAAACGTTGAATATGTTATTTAAATTTACAAATGCATCATAAAAGTAAAAACTTTTCAACCTTTCCCACACATAGAATCAACTGAAATTCTCATCAATATATGTATAGTCATAAAAAAAAAAATTCCTACATTTATTTTATAGTGTATTTATATAAAGTAACATTTTAGCAAATTTATTCTATTCTTAAGTGTTATCATTGGAAAAAAATAGAACAATGTAAAAAATGAATGTACGTGGGTAAATAAAAGAGAGTAAAAATAAAATAATTCTTAACAATCGCCAAGTACATGATGTATTATGAAATATTCTAATAATAATACAAACTTTGAGAAAATACAAAAAAAAAAAAAAAAATAGTTATAAGTGGTGGTAAGCGAATCACTCACAAGGGAATTCTGTGAAATATCTCACGTGTAAATAAAATGATAAAAGCAAAGTGGGAAAGGTAATAAAAAAAAATTAATCATAAAAAAACTTTAATACTATCAAGAGAAACAGAGAAAAAGTTGATGAAATAGCAGAGAGAAACAAATTAAAACAGGTCATGGTCAACAAAACTAAGTCAAACGACAAACAATGCTTTTTACATTGTATAATTTTGCTTGTTATATAAGAAGAAATGTGATAACATAATTAATGATAAAATATTATATTACAGTACTGAATAATATATGTACATCAAAAATCTTCATCTAATCTAAAAAATTCTAGCATGAATATTCATTCTCTGCTATGATTTAGAATTTTATCACATTTTATATTCGACATACTTTTCATAAATTGTTTAAAATATTTGTCATGTTTCTGCCTAAAAAATTGGATTATTCTGACCAACGAATGCTACCAGCCTGATGAAACATTTATTAGCTAACATTGGTATATTTTTGACAAAAACAATTGGGCTTTTTTTTTATTCAAATTCCTTGATATTGTTGATGGCATGTTCAGGTTAGGAGATTATTATTACATTATTACATAGCAATAATGTACTATATGTTTATCAACAAAAATCAAATAGCTAGGCTACATGTATATTTAGCATCAATAGGGAAGTAACTGTATTGCAATGTAGAGTAAAGTAAGGTAATTAGATGATAGACTCTTAAAAGTCTTTCAAAACGTTTCCTATGCATGCAGTAATGCAAAATGATGCAACCAGTTTGCCACAAAGGTCGACAAGACGTAGTGACACATCATTGCTTGACATTGCATGGATAAGTAACATCTTGGAAGACTTTTAAGAGTCTATCATCACATTGCCTGTTTCCCCTAACAACCTTACTTTATCCTACATAATATATCAGTTGGGAATGAATATTATTGATGACTTCAATTAAATTTAATACAGATGTGATAATTACACATGAGATATAGTATAATTGGGTATTTTATTCAGTAAGTCTCAACATGTGAGATTTGTTGGAAAAAGTCTGTGTTTTTGAAATCTCGATGCAAAAAGGGACGTTACAGAAAATTTGAAACCTTTGTCTGTCTGTGTATTTGCCTGTGGCATCGTAGCTCCAGTAATTTCATATGCACTCATCCAACATATGAGTCCTACTTTACTGATAAATCAGTTTACAAATGTCAAATATTAACTATTTAGTGGAATTAAAGTTTATTAGAAAACTCAGTAGCATAAAATCATGATGAATAATAGGAAAATACATATTTATTTTGAACCACACTGATTTTTTTGTTGCTTTCAGAAAACCCCACTTCTTTGGAAAGTCCTAGACTATTTTGATCTATTGTATTCATCAGATAGTTATGTCGATACATGTTGAAAGAAGTTATTGGTACTTTTTATTACACAATTAAAAATTATAAAAAAGTTATTTATTGAGTAATGAATTGAACTTCATTTGTTGAGTAATATAATTGTTGAGAAAATATTTTTAAAAACGCAAAAATAGTTACAGAATAAAATGAAATGTAAATTTAAAAGAACAAAACCCTTATGCACTATGTATTCAAGTAGTTTATTTTTCAAATAAAAATGATGGCAGGTGCTTTTGTATTTTTTTGGAGTTATATCAACGGTATTTTATCCTTATTAACATATAACGAATTTTTTTTTGCTCACTTGACCATTAATTTTCATAAGAATTTTCTATCTTTTATTCCAAGAGTACCAAAACAAATATTTATTTAAATAAAATCAAAACATTGAAATATATATTCTAACTTTATATTCTATTTTTTCTTGACAAAAGAAATAAAAATTGAGAACAATCAATAATTGATATTTAATATCACATTGAGTTCATCAAATAATCATAAAGATTCAATAAACATTATTATTACCGTGTGATTGAAAAATTAATTACCTTCATCTACAGAGGAATTTTGTTTTTGTAACTTCCAATAGATAAGTTTAATTAACTCTCAAAGATTCTTCATGAACAATTTATTCGTAATTAAAATGTCATAAAAAATACCAAGTCATTCTATTTTCTACTTCCAACAGACCTTTTCGAAGGTCATATTTAGGATGAACAAATCCCAAGTCCATATGTAATATGCAACAAATAGGATTACTTTAGAACAAAAACTTCAATCTCATCCTATTTTTATTTTACATCCATTTTATTTTTTCTAATTAATTTTCTATAATCAATTTCAATGAGTGCTCTAGATAGATTAACTTCATCTACTGCAAATTGTTCATACATAGCCAATATCATTTACAATTCATACAAGACTTTTATAACAATCAGTATTTATTATTTCATATGGAGAATGTTTGATGTTAATATCCTTTAAATTCAGACAAATAGATATGCATCAAACAATAAGATGTTTTTGATGTGTACTAGAGATCCATAATCTGATAAACGATTTCTCTTGGCAATCAATACACAAATGAATGATAGTCATGATTAACGGTAAAATCTGACATTTTCAACTAAGAAAGTACAACTTACCATCGGGAGTAGTGAAGTATCCCCAAGCTGGAGTTGCAGTTGCTGCAGATTGAAGTACAACAGCAAGTACTCCAAGTAAAAGTGCGCCTGCAGCACCTCGAGCTGCCAGTGCACGTTGTTTTCCTCGTTGAGGATCACTTGGAATCGTAATCCCACGTACATCTTGACGGTTTCTCGGATCTGCCATTCTTCATGCCTTTGTCTTCAATTATTGTCTTTTTTGTTCACTGTAAAACACTAGCCCAACCAAAAATTTAAATTCCTGATCAAAAAACCAGTGATTAGCTTAACGTTGCCTTCAGGTCTCCAAGATCAAAATAAAAAACTTTCTCTTAACCGACCTCGCCAATAGCCACAACAATCTTCCTCATTCCATTGAACTCAATTACACAATAAACTTCTTTTCTCTGTTAATATTTTTTGAGATTTTATTAAAAGTCATTTATTATCTTCAAAATAAATAAGCTGGTATAATCATATTACATTTAATTATACTTTGTATTTTTTTTTTTTGTTAAAGTTACTCCAATAGAAGGAGTTGTCACAATTCTGAATTCCTTTGTAACTATTAACACAACTGTGTTAATAAATTATCACAGAGAAATAATTTAATGAACTTTTGGAGAATAAATAATATTCTGATTCTTAAGTATTCATAATTTATATTTTGGTAAATATTTGTAAGGCATTACTTAGTTTATAAATAATTTTATTTAATTTTCCCATTGATTTAGAATATTGTGGTTGAATTTGATAATTTTTTTTAGCTAACATGCTTTTTAACTCTTTAAAATCCTCTGAAAAATGTTGAAGAGCGAATCCTCTTCCAGGACGTTCGAAACCGGTTTATACTGGAGAAGAGTAACTGCTAAAAATACTCTCTTTTTCTTCCCGTCAGTTAGTCCTTCCGTACTTTACGTTTATTTTCCGGGATTTCTCAGTACTTTCTAGGATAAATAAAATATTCCGAGATCTCTTGAATGTGTCAATGATACCATCAATTTCATACAATGTGTTAAAACAGCTGTTGATTTTTATTATTTATTAAAACACTCTTCAATTCAAATGACTGTGAATCTATAACATTTATATGTTTGCATTACAGCTGGAATTTTTGATCAATTTCTTTCTCGTTCATAAAATATTTTATACATTTGGTCATAATATATAAATAAATAAAAATAATGTTTATTATTAGATGATTTTTAATAATAATTCTAAAAGCCGAAAAACTTTTTTTTTTTTTTTCTTTTTCCTTTAAACGAGAAGAATCTTTTTAGATATCCATTTTCAAATATATTCTCTTTTCTTTCGTCTTGTTGCTCAATTTTTTTTTCACTGTCGTTGCATTTCTATGGGCAGCATATATTGCACTATGTAGGTCGTTCAGGTATGGTTAATGTACACGAAGAACACACACGGGAGTACGCGCCTTCCTTCCTCGCAACTCTCCCTTCACTTCGTCTCTTCGTTTTCCTCCTTCTTTACCACCACCTCCTCCTACTACTATTCACTTTAACATCAATGCAGTATCGTTCAAATATATGTACAGTGTATGTTCACATTTATCGATTACCATTTCTCTTTAACTTCGTTTCCACATGTCAACTATTAATTTTACCGTCTACATCATTTCTTATCTAATCTCAATTCAATTTTTTGTTAATTGTTCCTCTGTTGAACATTATGATTTAATATACACTTTATAAGGATGTCGAACAAAAAAAAATTCCAAAAAAAAACAATTGATTCGTATAACTTCCAAGAATAATATCAAATTAATCCAATTTTTTTTTATGCTTTTTACGTAACTTGTTTTCTTTTATAAAATAACCTGTACATCTTTTTGTTTCAAATAATTCTTGTATTGATTATTCATATTAGGCACACCCGAATAATGTTAAGTATCAAATTCAACTGGGTATTATCCGCATAATTATTTGAATTTTTAATCCCGCGAATAATTGAAGAATACATTAATTTGTTTGAACAGATAGCACACTATTTTCTTTGTTGATGAATTTCTTTGTTGACACTTTTGATGTGATAAAGATTCCCAATATGAAACACTAGTTGAAATAATAAACAATTATGTAAACACTTTGGTATTAGGCGAATCCACACTCGGTATGTATCGAGTGTGGAATGTTTGTACCTGCGTAGTCGAGAGCAGCAAAGAGACGCGTGTTCTCGAGTCTGCGCGTTACGCTGTACTGAAGTCTGAACGTGAATAAAAGTTGAAATAAAGCTTGAACAACAGTGAGCTATGAAACCTGAGTCTACTGGCATTCTCACTCGCGCACCTTCACTTTGTCTATCAAATAAATATAAGGATCAAACTAAATATTCATACCCGAGTCAGAATTTCACTATTATTTTGCTGCTGAACCCCCTAGTAATTTATATTTTCTCACTGAACCCCCTGAAAAAATTTATTTTGCTGCCGAACCCCCTAGTAATTTATATTTTCCCACTAAACCCCCTGAAAAAATTTATTTTGCCGCTGAACCTGCTTACAATACTTTATTTAAAATAAAAATTTTTGTCTTCATCCAGAATATCTACGCGTTTTCCATAATTATTATGAATTTATTAATGAAATCTATATTATTAAATTAGTTTTATCAACATTTGACGATTAAAACTTATTTGTAGTGATTTAAAATAATTTGTAATAGTTAGTAACGATGAGGAAATATTTTCTATAATATTTAATTGTTTATAACAATACATTATTATATTTAATATGATTATTTTATTACTACCGAGTACAGGATGTTTTTATAAACTATTTTTAATAGTATTCAGTTCTTTTGATTAATATTTATTTAAAAAAAATTATTAAGTTACTTTTAATAATCAGTGATTATTAATTGCAAGTTTTAAATATTTTTTTTTATTATTTTGTATATTTTAATTAATTTTTCATTATAAGATTAAGTTACCATCAATAGTATTTCATTTATAGTATTAATTATTGTGGATTTAAATAAGTAGAAAAAATAAAAAATTTATAAATTCGACACAGCGCAATGGATGTAACTTATGAGTTAATCTTATGTATTATCAATATTTTAAATAATTATTATTACAATTAATGATGTTTAATGACTTTTACATATTGTTATGAATCGTAATCATTATAAATATTATTATTAAACGAAATTTGGCGGTATGCCAAATATGCCGTGTAAATAATTTTTACTCCAAAATTGTTATTTTGGTTTTTTTTTTATTTAATTAAATTATTTAATTATTGACAAATGAAGCTAATGATAAACAAGGATAATAATGTGGCGAAGAAAGATTTTATCATTGAAAAGATGTAATTCTAATTGCATTTAATTGTAAGATTATTAAATAAAAAAGAAAAAAAAATTTATTGAGTAAAAAAATTAAATTGAGGTTTTAAATTATTTTTTTTTATGAATTAATGATTTAGATTGGATGTTTCTAATTGTCTTCATTTAATTTTTATATTATTGAAAATTATATTTAAAGGAATTAAATTCAATAATTAATAAAATTATTCAAATATTTATATGGTATTTATTAAATCAAAGATACATTAAAGATATATTAAATAAAAGTGTGTGTAATCATTCACACATAAATTGAAAATAAGTAACCTGATTTGTTGATAAATAAAATAATGATTAATTTTTATTAATACTAACACTTAATAAAATTTTAAACTTTTTTTGTGTCTGTCTGGAACATTTCATTTTGTGGATTAATCTTATAATAACTATCAAAACATTATTAAACTCCTAATATAAAATGAAAGACAAACTCCGAACATTATAAATAATTTCTAATTTTTTAATCAAATAAAAAGATTGATTAATAATATAATTAAAATTACTTTTCATTTAATTATATTCCAATCCAATAAACAAAACTTCAACAAATTTTTAGCAACGTTCCGGAGTGTATGTACTCCTTTTTTAAGCCTCCTATAAATAATTATTAACAAATTTGATCTTTATTTAATATAAACAACGTATTTTCAAGTTTATTAACAATTAAAGATTGTTATTCATTATATCCAATAAAGGATATTATTTAAATTATTTAAGCAAAACTAAATCTGGATTAAAAATAAATAATAATAATAAACATTTTAAATTTTGTCAAATTTAACTGGAATTATTTCAAATTCATCATGTAAAGATAAATAATATATTAATATTAAAATTAACAATATATTATTTATCTTAGAGTATATACTCTATTATCCAATTTAAACAAAACTGTATTTCAATTTCTTTTTTTTAATTATCAGAATTTTTTTCAATCCATCAATGACATCAATTGCACATTGACTCATTAATGTTGTTATTTACTTAAAAAAAAAAAAAGATTACATTCTTCCTAACATCACTGACAAACAATAGAGAATTATTTCGCCTACGCAATATTGTGTCAAACTCACATCAATACATACACCACTAGTGTGTACCTATCAGTCTTAAACGAAGTTATGATTACAATGACGTCAAATTTACTGTTTGAAACAGTATAAAAGAAGTCAAGTACTTCGGTAACAGCAGTACATAAATGAAGAAAAGGAAGAATTTAATAGAATCTTATTCATAAAGAAGTGTCTTATACACTTGATTATGATTTTTTTTTAAACCATTTATACATATCTACGTAGGAAAAGAATCTAAGAATTTAAACGGTATACGCAAATACTAGTTTTCATACATGTGTAGACATCTTGAAGCAATCTATAAACTAGTGTATGTCTATACATATTAAAGTTGACGATGATTCTTCAAGGTTACTCAAGTCCACCACTCTCGTAACTATTTTTACGCAACACATACCTCGCACATCTTTGTGCACGAAGACATTTAATTTCATGAATAAATAACAAAAATACTACGACAATCATTTTTTGAAGAAACCTTTTGAAGAATCGATAAACCCACCTTTTGTCATTTTCAATATAAAAGAGAAAGTATAAATTCCTAGATTCGTTTCTACTATCATGTCTTTATTTATATAATATTATCAAGCGATGATGGAAACTATAATATCAAAAGGTACTTCATAAATTATTATTATTTTATATCATATTATATTCTGCAATATATGAAGTTAATAAAAATCATTAAATCAAAAATAAATATTTGCTAAATAATAACTGTTAAAGTTTCCCAATAATAATTCATAAAAATTCAAGGTAAGAGTTTTGTTTTTAGAATATTATAAATCCTTTATATTTATATCGAAATACTCAGTAAAATTATACAGGGTTTTATGTGATGCAACTGAATTATCTAACAGTTGGAATATTTTAGTTGATGTTATTTGGGGAATACCAAACATGGTATCTTATTTTTTATAATCAAAATATTACTAGTGTATTTTTATTAATTAAATGGAGTTTGGATCTAAACGTCTATATAATTTATCTAAGGTAAAGTGAAAGTATCTAACTGTAGTACCTACACATGCATCATGACTGTGTATATGTGTGTACCTTAGAACTCATAAGTGAATGCACAAGTGGATTGCGTTGATGGCACGTGTTTCTAATGGGCAATAGACAGTTTTGTGATGATATAAACTGAATAGAGTACAACTTAAATTGAATCTAACTATTTGAATTTATTATTAAGGTGTTTAGTTAATAATGTTGGTGTTTGAACTACGATGATTAATTCTTTTTGGGTCTATAAAAAAAAAGATTGGTTTTATCAAGCTCTTCTTAAATTAACTGACAGATTTAGGTCATACATCAAGAATTATATTTTTAATACCGATATAAAAAATTTCGTTCCCCAAAAGTTCTTTAATAAATTATATTATTAGAGGAAAATAATAATTAATTAATAATTGTTGATAAGAAATTAAAATAGGACAAATTATTTACGAGTATAAGTCATTTTTAAATTTTGTAATAATGTTTAAATCAAGATGTTCAATTTATTGTACAATTTTTGATTAATAAAAAATTCATTTAAATTATTATGTAGAAAAATTTCATTAATTTCATTGTATTTAATGTTTTTGCAAAAAAGAGATGTTTAAAGAATGTTTGGAGTAGAGATGAAAAATTTTCAAAAAAAAAATAATAAAGTTCTCCAATGATTCCCTAAAAGGACCCAATGGTTCCATGAAAGGAAGGTAATTTTTTTATACAGGTATTAAAAGAATTTTCTTAAACTAACTTTCTATTGTTTGATTTTTAAAAAATCTTTTTTTTTATCGAGCTGAAATTATTTATGATACAGTTAAATACTTTTTCATTTTTTTTAATCAAATATTAAGTTTGTAATTAATTACTGATTATAATGAAACTTTGATTTCTTTAATAAAAATAATAATTTACTATTTTTATAGATTAATGATCGAGTGATTGAGCTAATTTTTATTTGAAGAATTAGGTAATAAAAGGCCGACAACCCTAGAAAATTGGGCAAAATGTGATTTTTCTTCATCAAATATAAGAAACGAAAAATATCAAGGGTGCTGCCCTTGTTGAATCAGACGTGCCTAATTCATGTGTTCATTTCTTACGAAATTAATAATTCTTCAGCAAATTTCCGCCCAAGTAGGGAAAGAGAGGGTAAAGTAAAACGCTTGAGAAAATGTACTAATTTATTAAAATAAATTCAAAAACGCCTATTGCATTTTTTATTTATCAATTTTTCAATCTATAAATGCATTAAAAAATTATTAACATTTGTTAATATAATAGTTAATTTATATTTTTTCTTGGTGTTCCATTTTACCCCACCTTCCCCTATTGATACTCCAATTTAGTGAAATGAAAAATGATTAATATTTCTAATCTGCAAATATTAAAAATCAAAATATTGTATTCTTCCTGGACTTGTCATCGATATTTATAAATGAAAAAGCCGACAAAGTCTTACAAAATATAATTTTTGAAGGATATATGAGTTAATAAAAAGAAATAAATGAATTACCACTTGTGTTAACGTTTCACGGTAACAAGAAAAGTAATCTGAATATAATTTATGTTTATGTAGCATTATTGTGAATTGACGCTTGAAAATACTCTCTAACTCAAGACCTTAGCCTCATTCTATTTACTGATTACTCATGAAAAAGTGCATAAATTGTCAAGAAACGAACAATAATTATATTTACGTGAATGAATGACGTATCAGTTTAGTTATTGAATACATACCATTATATATGAATATCTCAACACATCGAACTCACGTA